GAAGCTGTGCTGCAATCTTTTAGGCATGCAGTTTAAATCCATCAGCTGCTCCATGGGAGAAGAATGAGCTATCTCCTCTCCTGTAATTAAGTGCCTCTGAAAACCTGCTGAGACAATCCTGGCTTGGTTACAGTGGGAAGCAGGAGAGGGGAGCACAGGCAGAGAAGGCATGTGTCAAGGAAAGTTTCACAAAGGGAGCAGCATTTGGCCTTGGAACGTGATGATAATAAGGACACCATTTTTTAATTTATTTTCAGTATGATCAGAGTAAAAGGTGACCACATTATCTAGACTAAGAAGTGGGGCTTCCGGGGCACCAGGCTAAAAATACATTGTGTTTGGAAGACAGATGGCTTGAAATGAAAAAAAAAAGGGTGAGGATTGACTTTAACAAATGTGGAGCTACTTCTAATGGATATATGGAAGCCAGATTAGGGGAGGGTGACTATATGAATTATGTATTAATACATTAGGTAATGTACATTATTTAATATTTTGTTCATAGAAACTGAGGAGGACTTGAAGTGTCTGTTGGAGAAAGTTAAGAACTACAGTCTTCCATATGGACATGCATCTCAACATTAAGAAAACAAAGATCCACCCCCAAAAAATAATGGTAAATAACCCAATTGAAAAATGGGCACAGGATATGAACAGACACTTCACCAAAGAAGACATTCAGATAACCAATAAGCACATGAAGAAATGTTCAAAATTCCTTGCTCTAAGAGAGATGCAAATCAAAATAACTATGAGATATCATCTCACCCCAGTAAGAATAGCAAAATTTAACAGAACAGCAAACATCAAATGCTAGTGAGGTTGCAGAGAAACTGGAATCCTTATTCATTATTGGTGGGAGTGTAAAATGGTGCAACCATGATGGAAGGCTGTATGATGCTTTCTCAAAAAGTTACAGATAGAAATACCATTTGACCCAGAAATTCCACTACTGGGGATATACTCTAAGGAAACTATAACTGCCACCAGAGCAGATATATGCACACCCATGTTTATTGTGGCATTGTTCACAATAGCAAAGAGCTGGAAACAACCCAAGGGCCCATCAACAAATGAATGGATAGAAAAGCTCTGGTATATCCGCACAATGGAATACTACACTGCATTGAAAAACAAGGAACTTATGAAATATTAAACAAAATTGGTGACCATGGAGGACATTATGCTGAGTAAAATATCTCAGTCACAAAAGGGCAAATATTGCATAGGGCCACTGTTGTAAAGCTGGACTGACATCGGGGTTGAGGGAAGACTGAGAAAGAGGGGATAAATACTGTATACTGCATTGAAACAGATGAGGGAGAAAACTGTTTAAAAGGGTTATATGGTTAGGTATTTTTGTCATGACAGGAGTCCAGAATGACGGCTGCACAGTGGAGTGGACTTGGTGGGAGGGATTGTATAACAATGAAAGAATGTTTCTTTTACTTTTAAAAGAGAAGAGCAAATGCACAGTGGCGTGGACTTGGTGGGAGGGATTTTACAAAAATGAAAGAATTTTTCTTTTACTTTTAAAAGAGAAGAGCAAATTGGGGGGGCAGGGAGAAAAGTGCAATAATGAGTGAATGGAAATCCTAAGTCTCAGTAAACTTTCATTAAAATTGATAAAAAAAAAAACATCAAAAGAAAACAAAGATCCTTCCTACCAGGCGAATTGGCAGTATCATTATAGACAGAAAAAAGATTGAAGTTGTTAATTTAATTTTATTCAGATTCACAATTAACACTCTTGGCATCAGCAGTCAGGAAATTAAAAGATGAGCAGCTTTGGGAAAACCTACTGTTAGGGACCTCTTTAGAGTACTTAAGAGCAACAGTGTCAGTCTAGAGACTAAGGTGCACCTGATCCAAGCCATGGTCTTCTCAATTGTTTGCTATGCATCTCAGAGCTTGTCAAGGGTGATTTCCAAAGAGGTCTAGGGGCCTCTTCAGGTAAGAACTAGAAAGTTCTGACTCAGATATAAGACTTTGATAGAACATTGCCATAAGAAAGACACTGACACCAGGACACCAGGAAGAGCAAGTTAAAGAAAGGGGGGCTAATTAGACGTTCATTAACAGATTATGTATAGGTTAGGAAAGTCTGATCCCATCCTTATCTTATATATGAGTTGTTGTTGTTAAGTGCCATAGAGTTGTAGACGACCCATAGCGACCCTATGAATGAAAGTCTTAAACACAAAATTTTTATTTTTTCTCTAAGTTCATAGTTTCCAAAGGCGAGCTTTTTTTTTTTTAAAGTGGATGCCACTCCTGCTTCCAAGCCTGTTTTAATCAAGAGATCCACAAAAACCAGACCCAAGGGCCTGCAGCCCTCACTCAGGCCCAAAAGCCTTTTTAAATACTAGGCCAAATCCAATCAGCCCACATCCTATTGGGAGCAAAATCCACATCCTAGTCTCAACCCCAAACCAGAAAACACACCTTTGCAGAATTCGGCCGTTCCACTCATCTCTACAGCCTGGAAATAGCCCCAGACTGGAATATGTATGTTTTTCAGTGGGGGTCGAGTTTACACAGCTTTACGGTGGTGCACTGTTTCTGATGGATTTGTGATGGCCCTTGAGATATTTTTGTTTTCTTGATATTGACCTACAATCCATATTGAAGGCTGAAGTCTTTCACCTTCTACAGCAAGTGCTACATGTTCTCCTGAGTTTCAGGAAGCAGGGTTGTGTCATCTGCATAATGCAGATTGTTGTTGACTCTTCCTCCAATTCTAATGCCACATTCCTCCTCATATAGCCCAGTGTCCTGGGTAATCTGTTCTCCATATAGATTGAAAAGGTATGGAGATAGGACATATCCCTGGCATACACTCTTCCCAATTTTGAACCATACAGTGTTTCCTTCCTCTGTTCTGATGACTCCCTCCTGGTCCAAGTACAGGTTTCACATAAGCATGATCAAGTGTTCCGGGATTCCCATTCTTCTCAGAGTTAGCCAAAGTTTGTTGTGGTCTACACAATCAAATGCATTTGCATAGTCAATTAAACACAGATAGACATTTCTCTGGTATTCCCTGCTTTTAGCCAAGATCCATCTAGCGTTAGCTACAAAATCACTAGTACCACGGCCTCTTCTAAACCCAGCCTGCACTACTGGCAGTTCTTTGTTGGTGTGCTGCTTTTGGGTAATTCCATCAGAATCTTGCTTGCATGTGATATTAATGATATTGTTTGATAATTTCCACACTCTGTTGGATCAACTTTCTTTGGAATAGGAACAAATATAGATCTCTTCCAGTCAGTTGGCCAGGTGGTTGTCCTCCAGATTCCTTGGTATAACTTGGTGAGCACATCTAGGGCAGCAACTCTTTGTTGACATATATCAGTTGATATACCATCAATTCCTGGGGCCTTGTTTTTTGCCAATTCTTTGAGTAGCTTGAACTTCCTCCTTCATCACCACAGGCTCATGCTCATATGTTGTTTCATGAAATTCTTCTGTGTCCATCAATTCCTTTTGGTACAATGACTCTATACGCTTTTCATCTTCTTTTCATACTTCCTGTATTTTATTATTTTCTGCCCAAAGCATCCTTAATTAATGAGACTCAAGGCTTGAATTTGTTCTTCAATTCCTTGAGCTTAACAAATGCTCAGCAAGTTCAGCCCCTTTGATTTTCTGACTTCATCTCTTTGCATATTTCATTATACTACTTTACGTTGTCTTCCTGTGCTGCCCTTTGAAATCTTCTGTTCACCTCTTTAATATCTTTATTTCTTCCCTTTGCTTCAGCTTCTCGGGCCAGTAGTGCAATATTTAGAGTCTCTTCTGAAATCCATTTAGGTCTTTTCTTTCTCCTCTGTCTTTGCAATGACCTTTTGCATTTTTCCTGGATGATATTCTTGATATCCTCCCACAGCTCATCTTGTCTTCTCTTATTAGTGTTCAAGGCCTCAAACCTGTTCCTGAGATAGTGAAAAGATTATGATTGTTAATAGCTTTAGTTTGCTTGGCTCCATAATCAACACTCTTGGCACCAGCAGCCAGGAGATTAAAAGATATATTGTATTGGGAAGTCTACTGTCAGAGACCTCTTCAAAGTACTGAAGAGTTACGATGTCGGTCTAGAGACTAAGATGCACCTGATACAGGCCATGGAGCTGGACAATGACTAGGGATAATAGAAGGAGAATCAATGCCTTTGAGTTGTGGTGCTGGAGAAGATTATTGAACGTACCATGGACTGCCAAGAGAGCAAACAGTTAACCCTAGAGAGGGCGAAACCAAGTTTCTTCTTGGACGCAAGGATTTTGAAACTCATATACTTTGGGTATGTTGTCAGGAGGGATAAGTCCTTGGAGAAGGACATCATATTTGGAAGGGTAGAAGGTCAGCACAAGAGAGAAAGACTCTGGATGAGAAGGATTGACAGTGGCTGTTGTAATGGCGTCAGGTGTGCCAAAAGGGGTGAGGTTGGCTTAGGATAAGACAAGGTTCAAAGCTGTTGTTCATAGGGTTCCTATGAGTTATAGTTCACTCAATGGTACATTAATTAACAACAAGCTCTTCCATGCTCAGATCTGCATACTAAAGCTAGCACTAAAAGACTGTGGGAGTCCATCAACCTAGAGATTGAATTGAGAAGTTAGGAGTGTGCTTGATTGGCTCATACTGTGCTTCCTCACTAGCTCTCCAGTCTTACCACACTCAGGTCTCTCTGATCCTTCTAATTTCCACACTCAGTATCCTCTAGAAAAACAAATTGCAGAATAGTGCCTAGTATTTTGCTTGTTTGCTTTTATATACATAGTAGGTTGCCTGGTAAAATGAGTCTATGAAAGTGGTTGGCAGGATGGGCTGCTCTCAGAGGGGTGGTGTGTTTCCTATTTCTTGCTTCTTTGTCCTAAGCTTTCCTAAGAAAGAGTTGGGGGAACTAGTTCAACCCCCCTTCCGGTTTCGTTTCCTGGAATTCTTCAATAATGTTGCCTTTGACCCCGGAAGTGAGGTATTCAGGGTTCCTCCCTCCCCAAGATGGCAGCTGCGGAAGACGTATTTCTACTGCCGCGGCTCCCAGAGCTGTTTGAAACAAGCAAGCAGCTTCTGGACGAACTGGAAGTAGCGACTGAACCCACCGGTTCCCGCATAGTCCAGGATAAGGTGTTCAAGGCCCTGGACCTCCTTGAGAAGATTGCTGAAATGTTATCACAGCTCGACTTGTTCAGGTATGGGAGAGCTTAGTAACTGCTGAGAACCTTGGTAATAATGGTTACTAAGGGCGGAGACCTTTAAGATTAGGAACGTTCGCACCTATTTCCCACTGTGTTCTTATACCCATCTCTAATCCGGAATAATTAATGTCCTACAACTTTGCTCCCTAGTGTCGAACTACTTTTATTAAAATAAGCTGTCCGCAGTTCCCAGTGTCTCATCCCTTTGTTCCTCTTCCTCCCCAGCCCTCTCCTCCCTAAGGAAGTCAGCGTCACAGTTTGACTATCTAGTTAGACTTCACAGCTTCCTCTTTGCTCTTTCTAGCCGTAATGAAGATTTGGAAGAAATTGCTTCCACCGACCTAAAGTACCTGTTGGTGCCAGCATTTCAAGGAGTCCTGGCCATGAAACAAGTCAACACCAGCAAACGGCTAGATCATTTGCAGTGGGCTCGAGAACACTTTCTAAACTACTTAATTCAATGCCATTATTACCATGTGGCAGAGTTTGAGCTGCCTCAAATCAAGAACAACTCAGCTGAAAATAACACTGCTAGCTCGTCCATGACCTATCCTAATCTCGTTGCTATGGCATCTCAAAGACAGGCTAAGATAGAGAGGTAAGTCGATAGCTATAATATGAGTGATAACCAGTGGCAGTGCCATTGGAGGGTGTGCATGTTTTTTGGGGGGTGGAGAGATAAGAGAATGGTGCACATAACTCTCCTACTTCTTAAGTGAGCAGACTCTGGTGAGAGCAAACTTTTTCAAGCTGCCTCTGCCCTAGCTGAGGTAATTATACTCAACTATTAGATTCCCTAGTATTACTAATTAGTAATACTACTAATTACTAATTAGTAATTAGTATTACTAATGTATGATCACCAGCATCAGTAATACAGTTTAGCACACTATCTCCCAACCATTTCCACATCATAGACGAATGCTATTTTTATGGTGCGCTGGAGTAAATATCCCTGAAACCACCCACAAATATGTTGCTGCCATCCACTGTGAGCCCATTTATTTAAAAACTCTTTTTTAACAAAACATTGAATCCTGACCTTATCCTAATCCTGACATGACTTCATCTTGTGACCTCGAACAATTTCTGTACTCTCATATGTCCCAGTCAGGTCAGAACTGACTCATAGCTTACCCTCTGATGAGTTTTCAGAGGCTGTAAATTATACGTTATATTGCTCATCTTTCTCCCATGGAGCAGCTGGTGAATTCGAACCATCTGCTTTTGGATTAGCAGCACAGTTCTCTGTCCACTAAGCCACTACAGTTCTCTGCCGACTCTTTTTGTTGCTAGGTGCCATCTAGTCTATTACAACTCATAGCAACCCTGTGAAGAATAGATCTGAACCCTGTCCTATCCTGTATCATCTTCATCATCTCTGATATACTTGAGCCCATTGCACTAGTGTCAGTCCATCTAGTTAAAGGTCTTCCCCTCTTTCATTCACCCTCCATCTTTCCAAGTATAATGTCCTCCATGGAATAGCCTCTCCTAACAACATGCCAAAAATAGATGATGTCATCTTTGCTTCCAAGGAACACTCCAGCTGTACTTTGCCCAAGACATATCTCTGTTCTTTTGGCAGGCCATGGGATATTCAGTACTCTTCTCCAACACTACAGCTCAAAGGCATCAATTCTTCTGTCAACCTTATTCATTTCCCACCTCTCAGGCACATAGAAGTGATTGGAAAAGACCATGACCTGACCTAGGCACACCTTAGTCCTCAAACTGACTTTGCTTCTCAGTAATTTGTAGAGGAGCTCTCATGGCCTAGTGGTAAGAAACTGCTTCAGTCTCGAAGGCATGACATTTGAATCAACCAATTGCTCCACAGGAGAAGGATGGGCAATCTCCTCCCTTGCTATTTACTGCCTCTGAAACACTCTAGAGGGTCAGCTATGAGTTGGTTCCAACTTAAGGGAAAACAACAGCAGAGTTCCTGGCACATGATAGGTACTTAAGAAATAATTGTTGGAATGAAAATTTCGGAGCATTCTCTTAGTTTAGTTAAAAAACTTTTAATGAGTGTCACAGTGTTTAGGAACTATGCTTACACTGTATGGGTGTTTGTGTCTGTGGTTATGTACATGATTGGTGGTGGTGTTTTTTTTTCTTTGGTTGACGGTTTATTAAATACTCTACATTTATACCTTACTCTGCAAATTTTAAATCAGTCACACAAGGGCTTAGTAAGAACATATTTTATAGAAAATTGTCTGCAAAACTAAAATGAGAAGAGTGAACGCTTAGCACACGTATTAGAGGAACTGCTGAAATGTTAGGAGTTTTGTCCTTTAGTCCGTACAGGAGTTCAATGAGGATGCACACACGTGGCCGGAGGCTACCAAAGCTGGCACCTAAGGACTGGACTGTGCAGAGGTGGAACCTCCAAGCCATGGATGCACAATGTCTAGTAACAAAACCCATTTGATCTAACACTGTTTGAGAAACAGGACAAAGTATTGTTTTTCTTTTACAGACCCTTTTCTAAAGCCATCTTTATGCTTGCCTTATCTCATCTGTACAGTGAGCTTTGTACTCTGATGAGGCAAAGAAATTCTCTCAGAAACCAACTGGAATCTATTTACAAAACAAGCAGCGGGAGATGGTAAGCAGGTGCTGCCGTCTGCAGTCACCCGTGACAAAGTAACATGGCGAGTGAAAGAATGTACCTTCACTCTGGCAGATGTGCCGCCCTCCTTTCCAGGAGAAAGACACCTTCAGGGAATTGACTATAAAATGGCATACAGTGTGCAGAGGCGGAAACAAAGAAGTTTGCAAATTCTTTGTATTTCTAGCTGTTCAGACAAATATTTTTAAGAGCCTAGGTTACCTTTAGCGGCGAAATCAGAGCCAGCTATTGAGCAGCCAGAATGCTACAGTAATTGAATACACGACCATTTCTCTTTTAGCACGTTATTTGTTCTCTTCTTCCAGAAGCTGTAGACGTCTGTTTAGCTTGATTATCTGTCGTCTTAACGAATCTTCATCTATAACAGCCATGTCATCTGCAGTTGCTTCAATTGTTGTATCTGTATTTAAAATGCCGTGCATGGAGTCATTCCTGACCAGCTATCCATTTTGGCGAACAGCATTTTCACTCATACCGAATCTTGTCATTTTGATGGATTGGAGCAGGTCTTTCTAAATCCAGAAAATCTAGCGGTCTTTAACTCAGTGTAAGAACACAGAGCAGTGTTTTGAGCGCCAGAGGCTTAAAGGGAGTCAACTGGATAAGGTCAGGGTTTGCTGGTCTTGAAAATGGAATGTCTTCATTGTTTCCTGCAACAACAATTCTCTCCGGAACCTGCATGATCACACTGGCATTAGGTGCTCCTTCCTGAAATCCTTGTTCCAGGTTGGCATTTGGTGGCGCCACAATTTTTCTGGGACTCGCATTCGCTGACTGATACCTTCAGTGTATTCCATTTCATACTGAATTCAACTGATTTCCGCCATTTCAGAAGCAGTGGGAGAAGGAAATGCTGCCCCACTCACCAACTGTGTCACAACTACTGCTTACTATCTAGAACTATCTGCTTCTGTGCTTCATATTAAATCCTTTGACCTACTTCAGTGGCGTGTGCTGGACTTAGAGCCACTTGTGTCCCCTGGGCCCCAGGCAGGTGTCCAACAAGGGCTGCTGGCTCCCGGGCACTCGGGTGGCCGCTTTCCGGTTATGTGCATGTTTTTATGAGTATAGCGTTGTACTTTGGAGAAGCATGCAGTTTAGTGAGGGAAACAAGCATAGATTTAATATCAACAAAAAGCAACGTGATAGATGTACAAGGTACCATGATAGCAAACAGGAGGAACACCTAACTGAAGAGAGGAAAAGGAGGCTTTCTGGAAGTGGTAACTACTGTGCTGAGTTTTTTAAAGGATAAATAGGGATGCTATCCAGAGATAGCTGTACAGAGATAACTCATGGTTGCTGTGAAGCTGAACACTGTGACACTTGACACTGATGTGTCAAATGGGATGGTTACCCATGGTGGACAGTGTTTGGTGGAGCTCCCCAATTAAAACAAGCTTGAAAGCAGGAGTGGCAGCCACTTCCAAAATAGCTTGCCTCTGGAAACCCTATGAACCTGGAGAAAGGATGAAAGTTATTCAGGCGTTCAGGTCTTTTATTCGTGGGGTTGCTAGGAGTCACCTACCACTCGATGGCATTTAACAATAAGAACAGCATAGGGAGAGATCAGTTGGCCTAGTGGATGGAAAGTGATGCTACCAAGCCAAAGGTGGGTGACTTTAATCCATGGCCCTAAGGCCTGTTTTTAATTGTTTTTGGTGAAACATTAGATAAATAGCCCTGGTCTCTCCACTTGCTGTACAGAGGTAACTCGTGGTTGCTGTGAAGCTGAACACTGTGACCCTCATGTGTCAGATGCGATAATGGTTACCCATGGTGTACAGTATTTGGCGGAGCTCCTCTATTAAAACAAGCTTGGAAGCAGGAGTGGCATCCACTTCCGAAATAGCTTGCCTCCGGAAACCCTATGAACCTGGAGAAAGGATGAAAGTTATACAAGCATTCAGTTCTTTAATTCATAGGGTCGCTATGAGTTGCCTATGACTTGACGGCACTTAAAACAACAACATCCAGAGAAAAGGGAGCTCTGTTGGCCTAGTGGGTAAGGAGTTGTACTGCCAGCCCAATGGCAGGCAATTCGAATCCACCAACTACTCCATGGAAGAAAGAAGAGCAGTTGTCTCCCATGTATTTTACTGACTCTGAAAACTGCCTGAAGGGTCAGCTATGCTTCACTTCTACCTCAACAAAAAACATCATCCAGAGAAAAAGGACAGGAGGATTAATATCTAACAGAGATCATAACATTAGTAAAGGAGTGGGGTATGTTAAAAACACAGTGCTGGCATAGAAATATGAGAGGGGAACAACAGCTCTGTGCTGTTGAGAAGGGGAAGAAATGATGTTAAAAAATGTAGGGTCCAGACCAAGGAGGGCTTAGGCTGTGTGAAGAGTATAATCTTGTTACTGAGAACCTAGAAAGGAGTTCAGGTCCTTAATTTTCCCATCTGTAAATTTGAGGCATAATTATGAAGATTAAAAAGAAATGCATATAAAACACTTAACACAGTATCTGGTTTATAGTAAGCAGTCCAGATTAGCTATTCTTGTTTGGTCTGTGGTTATGGATTGTGGAGTTAGAGATCTAGGTTTGAATACCAGTTTTACTTCTCTGAAGCTCAGGCTTCCTCATATGTGAAATCGAAATGCTGTTATTGTTAGGTACTGCCGAGTTGGCTACAACTCAAAGGACTCTGAACACAGATGTGAAGCTTGACCTGTCCTGCACCATCCTTATAATCTCAGACTTGCTAAATAAAGCCCATTGTTGTTGTTTTCTTTTTGTTTTGTTTTTTAATTATTATCAAATTTTATTAGTTTTAATGAACACTTACAGAGATTTTGGGTTCTCATTC